CCCTTCATATACGTCATAGCTATGATCAAATTTAATCACATAACAATCCCAAAACAATTAGCACACATAATAAATACTCCCTTTGTCCCTAATTTTTTGACCCATTGCAAAACTATGGGTCAAACTTTATAACCTTTGATCATAAGATACTCTTAATGTAAAAGAGATATAGTCATATGAGGACTTGTAGGATTCATCTCATTGTATATTTTATTAACATATGATTTTTATAATTTTAACACATGAAAATGGAGATAAATCCGGTTTAAGATGAGTCTTGAAGACCATTAAAAGTTAAACTGTTAAATAGGGCAAAATATTAGGGACAGAGGGAGTATAATTTATGATTATAGTTCTTTTAATCTTTACTTGACAAACTTTCTCAAAATGAAAATGTCACCAATACTTGACCTATACCATAAATGGAAAGTTTTTTTTTAACACATAAATGGAAAGTTTTAAAGTAAAGTTATAATTACACAAACTTTCCCACAACCACCATCAATCATCCTATCGAGCCACCACCCCAGTCCTTTATATTTATACCACCACCTAGTCCACCGTATCAATTAACAACCACCTCAGTCTAACAAAACACCATCCCAATCTAACGAACCACCTTCCGGGTCTTCCACCACCCAGACAGCCGAAAACACACAAGCAGTAAAATCACCATCCTCCTCACCGAACGAACACCCCAACTCGCTGAAAACCACCTTCACCCTGAGCTCGATCTATTTTCTCTCTCCTCGCCGAAATTAACGCTCTCCACCAAACTGCCACCTCCACTGAAATCACTCACCACCGATTGGCAATGTACATATATAACCCACCACCACTTTTTTTGGTATTTTTTGAGAGAGAAAAGAAAGAAAGAAAATCAAAGAGGTCAAATCTAGAGGAGGAAGAGAGAGAAAGAAAGATAAGAGGGGTTGAAGATGAAGAAATCAAAGTCAGCGGAAGAGAATGTGGTCTGGACTTTGGGCCCGGGAGAGAGAAGGGGTTGAAAATGAGGAAGAACTGGATGGCGGCGGAGAATTCAGATTCAATAACAGGGAAGAAGTTGAAGATGAAGTCTCGATTGTTGTGGTGACTGGTTGGTGTGGTGATTAGTGGTGAGTTAACAGGATTAATCAATTGACTACTCTTAAACAAAGCATAATTGAAGACTCTATACACTCTCTCTCCTCTTTTTAAAAAGTGTACCAAGGGCTATCGGTCATCTAAAAAATAGGAGGAAGTAATTCCAAAATACCTCCTAAGTCCTAATGCCACTTTTTATTTTTTACAAACTAGGAAAAACCCCCTTCCATAAAACAACACCAAAGAAATGCAAAGTAAACCCTATCTAATCCCCAAGCACTTACTCCAAAAGGTTTTATCATTATTCTCTACCAAGAAAATCTAAAAAGCAACTTGGCAAAGAGGTCTCCAAAAAACCTCAATATTCCTCCCAAAGTTACAAGACACCCATGAGGTCATGATAAATATTTTTGTTTAAAAAATAATTCCCAAGATATGTAACCACTGCATAAATCATATTTTTAAAAAAAAAAATGTAATAGATAATTACTCTCCTCATAACTGCACATATACAGACAAACATAATTCATGAAAATGCGAATAAAAAGCCTTACAAGTTAAACGAAATAAGTCCCTCATCTACACTTGCCTATTAAGAGAATCATAATTGTTTGATGTAATTGCGAATTAGTCAACACGCTAGATACTACTTTTGAGTACTTGTAACGAGGGAATTTGTGATTGAACTTCTTACTCTCTTAGGCATCATGTATAGTGATGAGTCTAGGGGTGAGCAAAATAGAAACACAGGTTCCGATTCCGGGTAATAAAATCGGGAGCCTGTTACAACAGGTTCTGGTTCTCAAATTTTTGGAACATGAACTTGTAAGGTACCTTGTTAGCCCAGGTTCAAGTTCCAAGTACCCTAAACTGAAATCAGAACCTGTCAATTAAGCCCAATTCATACGAGCCCAATATTAAAAAACATATATAAATACAAGCCCAATATTAAAAAAAAAAACCTAACCAACCAGAGTTGGTTTGATGTGTTTGTGATTTGTAAGAATTTTAAGCTTGTGACTTTGTGACTTATGAGTATCCAAAAAAAAAAATTATATTTTGTTCTCATTTTTCATCGGTTCCGGTTCCGGTTCCCATTCCTTGGATTTTGACAAGGTACCCTGTTAGTCTGTTACACTCGCCCCTAGTGCTGACTGTTGAGTGCAAAACTAAGGAGAAGAGACATGGGGCTTCCTCTCTCTAATTTTTTATTCTACATATCCTTTCAATCCTAAATCCATAAAGAAAAAGGATGCCCATGACATATTTCCATGAAGAGTGTAAAATTTGATTCCGTTTAAGAACATTCTACCAATAACATAAGCATCCATCCTTCATAGCTATGCAAACCAACTCTTCCCCTCATCCGTGAAATAGAGCATTTCCCATGATTCTTTCAGAAGGGAATTTGAAAGAAGATGGAAAATACAAGAGTATGCTAAATGGAAATATTAAAGTAATGTTGATAGAGCATCTAAAGTAACTATGCCACTTTCCATATCAAATCTCACTGGATCCCAAGAAAAATAAACAACTCATGAAGGAAATGATTTCACATAGTTCTAATGAACCTTTCACTACCAGTAAGGTAATATCAAAAGAGAGGTTAGGTGGAGTTGAGTAAAGAGAAAATTGATGGGACCAAAAGTAATGTCTATGAGAGTAAAGTTATGTTTCTTCAAAGAAATTTATGGTATGAAACAATCTTTTAAAAATAGACTAAAAAAGAAAATGAGAAAATTTTAACGAACAAAGAGAGTAATTGATACCAAACAACAGATAACTGTAATGAACTGATTTTTTGGCTTAATATTTCTGGTTTAATAATGCAAGTAACTAAACATTAAAGCTTAAATTTTGATTGATAATGGCTGAAAGATTACAAAAGATAGGGTTAATAGCTTAAGGCTATTAGTCTTCAACAGTGAGTTTAGCTCACAACTCTCCAAAATGGCTTTAGGCGATTACTCTCTCTAGGTTTCCCTAATAAATTTCTGCCTACCTCCTCCTTTCCCCTCTCCCTCTATTTATACTAAGGCTAAAGACTATTAACCTAATAATACTAAACTTCCAAAAGTGCCCCTCCTAAAGCTAGTCTATTACAATACCGGCTGCCCAAAGTTCCACCTTGTCCTCTAGGTGGATAGTAGTTTGCACTAAATTTCTGGCCTCGGCAACATTGATGCTTGCTCCAACTCTTGAAAAAGCCAAAACTGAGAGTGAGCTGCTGTGAGAGTTTCTGTTCATTGTTGAAGATTAGTACTCTTAACATGGCATAAGAAACTGAAAAATGCTGTAGCTTGTCAGGTAGGATAATTGAATTATGGGTAGAGTAAGTGGTGTCTGCATTGAAGCAAGAAGTGTAGAGATAAGGATTGCTGGGCAATGTTGACTTTAGGAAATAAAAGGTAAAGGACTTTAAACAAAGGATGCTGGATGGAAATAAGGATTGCTGGGCAATGTTGGGCTTCAGGCTATGAATTAGAAATTTGGGCCATGTTGCAATGGGCTCAAATAAAAACCTGACTTCTAAAAATGATAGATTCATTTCCAAGGCTAAGAAGATATTATGCGAACAGTAAGCAATCTCAGCATGATTCTCATTCTTTGCCACGTCATCAAATCTCATATTTACGATTCTACCCTTACTAGCACCTTCCATGTTTGGCTTCCTCCACAAGCCAAAGAAGATTCCAGTCAAACTTCTGCCAAAAGCTGCTCCTTCTGCATACTTCAAGAACCCACCAAGTAACCACTCCCGTTGAAACCATCCTCCTGCTTCACCTCCGGTCAAATACCCACCGCCGGTAAAACCACCAGAGAAGTCACCACCCCTTCTTGCAACCAATGGTGGCGGTGAATCTGTTCACCTGGCAGACCCACCTCGACTTGCGCCGCTTCTCCCACCACCTTGCCGGCACACTTCACAACCTTCTCCGGCAGGCCTACCTGGACCACCGCCGGATCCGCTATTGTCGGCACCGCCTTTCTCAAAAACCCCTTCTTTCCCACCTCCGTCGAACACACCAGCCTCTCCTCTTCGCATGAAAAAAAGAACACCTCCAAATTCACTAGTCCCACTACCAAAATCGCCAGCAAAGTTGCCTTGACCTCCCTTCACGAAAATTCCCCCACCACTGTAGAGGTTGTCCGCACGCTTCCCTGGCCTACCAAAACCCCCTGTAAAACCACTTTCGAAAGTGGCCACTTCTCCACCCAAATCACCAAGGAACCCACTTTCTGATTTTTTGGCTTAATATTTCTGGTTTAGTAATGTAAGTAACTAAACATTAAAGCTAGAATTTTGATTGATAATGGCTGAAAGATTACAAAAGATAGGGTTAATAGCTTAAGGCTATTAGTCTTCAATATTGAGTTTAGCTCACAACTCTCCAAAATGGCTTTAGGCCATGACTCTCTCTAGGTTTCCCTAATAAATTTCTGCCTACCTCCTCCTTTCCCCTCTCCCTCTATTTATACTAAGGCTAAAGACTATTAACCTAATAATACTAAACTTCCCAAAGTGCCCCTCCAATAGCTAGTCTATTACAATAACCTCCTAAAACTACATGTCATGATAAGTTTCAAGAATATTTTGGGACAAAGGGAGTACACACATAAGTGAAAAGAGTAGAAAGCTAACTAGCCTAAAACTTTTTTACTTCACGAACCATTCTTTTTCTCATGTTAAAAAGAAATAAATACCCAACTCATGCAGATATAAATTCCGACAACCACATTTTCATATACCTACTAAAGCACTTTACGAAAATCCTTGTTCATCATTCCTATAGTTCTTGATAACACACAAGGGAAACCATACAGTCATCCCCCAAATTTAAAACAGCATTTGGAACCCTTCTTCCTTAAAGAAACTCTCTACCTTAACACTAGTAATAGGATCTCTCTGCTTCCTCCAACATAGGCCAAATCAAAAAGAAAGACATGATCTTAACAATAGTTTTAAGAACCGTCCCTCTCTTTTGACTAATTAATGATATTCATTCTCCTAGTTTTATCAACTACCTTAACAAAGAAAAACTGAATTTAGTATCCCTTAGTAATCTGGCTAAGCCCACATCACTTTCTTATCAAATCCATACTCCATCAAGGATGGTGCTCCAAAAATTATTAAGAAAAAGTAGCTCACCAGCAAGGCTTCTCACTAAGCCATCAATTTCAGTAACAATCAATAGTCTCATTTTTAAAAGCTTTAAAATCTCTCAGGTTCAGTAAAATTATAGTTAACTTTGAACCAACTATTAGTACCTATGTAGGACTTTGTAATACCTTTCATCCTATTCATTGACATACATGATAAAGTAATAAAAATAAAATGAAATGAGAAAATGATACGCTAAAAAGGCAAATTAATGGTCAGAATAGCTCAGTTGGTAAAGCGGAGGACTGAATATACTATTTCGCACACATAACTCCAAGAGTCAATACACCAAACCTACCCCTTCCATTGTATTCTAGTACAACACATAATAGTTCTAAAGGGTTAATAAATGTCCCCTTGAAAAAAAGGTACCGCGACAAAGTATAATGAGATCAGCTAACTTGATAGTGGATATAAGATTTAAATAAATAGGCATTTTAGTTTAAATACATCTTACTCCCTCCTTCCCTTAATGTAGCCCCATTTACTTTTTCATGGTTTTTAATATCTTAAACGTGTTAGTAGAATCTAAAAAACAAAATTGATATAATGAAACTGCTTGCTACGACCTAACAAGATAATAATTTTTTTTCTTATAAATGTCTGGAAATATGTGGTCTTAGTTTTAAAACTCATAAAAAAATGAAGATAGAGCAAACAATAAGGGACGGAGGGAATAGGTCATCAGCAAATTATAGATGAAAGGAGTTTGTGACTAATTTTACTAACAGAGGGAGAGTTATATAATAACACTTTATATGGGTGCACAAGATAAACAAGCAGGGTAGGCTTAGTAAGAAATTCATTTCTCATTACCAGACGAGCCAAGAAGAATAAAGGGGGAAAGATTAGTGTGTTAACATGTACAAAAGCTATATTTTCCATATTACTTCTACTGCCATCTAAAGACTATAATTCATAACCAGGATGTACAAGATAAACAAATAGAGTAGAGCCAGTAGAACCAAAAAAAGGATATTGCGCTTGCTGGCACAAGAGTCAAATTGTCCACACTGTATCTACTGCCATATGAAGATTATGCAAAATTACTTAGGAAAAATGATTTACCTTGCACAGGTAATGCATAAGAGTCATCTTGCTATTCCGAGAACGTGTATCTGTGAGTTTAAGGAGGCTATCCAGTCGAAACCCAACAGCAGCACCTGCAGGCATGTTCATCGATATTCAAAGGCCAAAAAAAAAAAAAAAAAAAAAAAAAAACTGAATATATAAAACTATAAAGTGGAAGCATCTAGAATATGCAACAGATGTGAATGATAATTACAAGAAGAGCCTGTAACCAACACAAAATATAAGAAAGAGATTCAAATAAATCAAAAAAACCTCGGCCCACCTCGAGCAGTCCCTTGGTTCAATGCATTGCCCAAAGACAAAATTGTTTGCATGACTCTTTTCAACTTTACTGATGATCTGATCTGAAAATGGAAAGACATGTCATTGCATAATCACATATGTAATAAACACTTTGGGAAAGAAACTAAAGAAAAAATCCAACAACCAACAAGGCGATGGAAATGGCCAAGACCCAACGGAGAACACTTGCCTCTTCTGATGCAGAATTCACTATCTGTAAATTCTTTTTAAGATCGGACACCTGAAATTATTAAAAATACACAGATTAACAATCTAGACAAAGTTTGCAGAACTAGATCATAATGAAAATTAATCAACAAACCTGAGAGATAAATTGTATCTTAAATGAAAAAACTCTTAGTTTTGACTCCACTCGAGGCACCTTCATCAACTCTAAGAAGAACTGTTTCAGAATTAAAAAGAATATACATAAATCAAAATGCCCTATTTCAACATTATATAGCAGCAACCAAATTAAATCAAGCCCCAACATAACCATATACTAAGCATCGAATTAATTTAATTGGTACTATGTCATCTTGAGCTTAACTGATCTTGGTCTCCAATGATGTTTAAAACCATTGATGTGCAAGGTTAAAAAGTTAAATATAGAAGAAGAAAAAGAATTGACTAACCTGTTCACATTTCCCTAAATTATCTTTATCACCCTTGTATCCCTGAACCAGACAGAATTTTTTACATAAGACTTAAAGAAAGACAAAATGTTCAAAAAATTGTAAACAAGAAATAAAAACAATGATTTCTAAAAAGGACAATATAGTCCCACAACATAAATAGACAATAATTTAAACAAATATCAGAAAGATAAAAAATTAATGGATCATTCCAGACCAAACTTGCCTCTGTCTAATAACTTACCTTCAGTTGCTCCATTTCTTCCTTTGTTGGACAAAATTTTATAAGGTTTTCCACTTGATCAACATCCAAAGCTGAATCATCCAAAGCAAGTACTGAATTCTGCAATAAAGTTGATACCAAAAAAGAAAAAATTTAATGAAAAACCCTCTCAAACCCATTCTGTTTTAAATATTCTACTAGGAATATAAATCTTGGCTGCAGTGCCATGTGCCACCACATACTATAGGTTTTTCAGGTAACCACAACCATCATAATAGGCTGTGACAGTTTCAAACCATCCGAATTGCCTGCCAAAGTGGTTCCAGACCTGTTAACGTGATCATAGCCACAACCAAGATTTAATTCCCTAATTACTACTGAGTGACAATAATCAGCAACCTCAGTTATCTGTTAATTCTCTACAATAGAAATTATCATCAAACCCTAGGCTTTATTTGCACACCGACAATTATGACCTTACCATTAAATCAGGCAGAGGAAATTTCACTTTTGTAAGCATTATTTCACAATTATAAGCCCTTCTAAGCTCAATCTGCAGAAAAGCCATGGACAAAGATCAAATAGAGAATGCAAATACATTAGTTTGCTAGGGCAGCAGAGGCACATAACATAATGTCAAGACTCAGAGTAGATAATATATAAAGCACAGCCAAGAAATTAATCCACTAGATAAGAGGAGACAAGGCTCAGCCCAAACAAATTTGCTGACTGGTAAGGTTTTGATTCAATATAGTGCACCACTTTCTTCTTCAACAAATTCATCAACTATGAATCACACTGAGGTAGGGTCTCAAGAGGCTCAGATGTACAAGACCTTGCCCCAAAGAAGTCAAATACTATGATGGAGGCTATTAAATATCCTAATTGACAACATACCAATTGCATGCTTCGAGTCTGTTTTCATTAACCTTTCAGTAGCTAATACATGCTACGTTTGAATGAAGAACACTAGCCAAAGATTAATTACTATACTAATTATTTATTCGTTAAATCTCCCAGCAAATCCTGCCAGATGTTGGATTTGACAATAGGTGATTCTAAGGAAACTAATGAATAGCAAGCAAAAAAATGATTTTATTATTACTAACCAACATTAAAAGTCAAACACAAATTACCAGCTGAATTTTTTCAGGTTTAGAACCTGAAGTACGACGGCCCGATTGCCCTCCAGTTACCCCCTTGTCTGCATTTGGAACAGATGCTGCAAAGAGGGTCTCAAGTTCTGACATATCAAACTCTGGAGCTCTGTCAAATATTGAAATTATTACAAAGGTTCAGCAGTAAGCTTTGGACTAAACTGTGCAGTTAAAAAAAATATCAAGCAGGGATCAAACAGTTACTTGGAAGCCTCATCAGGTTTTTGAGCATCAGCCCATAAGCTTCCTTGCATTACCCTTGTTAATTTCAACCAATGAAACGGCTTTACATTCTTTTTTGGTTGACCCTGATTCCTCGGAGTAACACGAGGAGGGACCCTACCCTTTAAACCAGTGGGTCCAGGGGGTGGAGGAACTGGTCCTTTGCTACCAGGCACTTGAGAATCTTGAGCAGAACTATTAGCTCTTGCCAATCCTTTCCCAAGAGGACCTGGTGGAGGTGGTACTGGTGGAGTTTTAAGAGAAGTTGTGAACCCAACATTAGAAGAGGCACCTTTAGGAGGTGGGGGTGGTGGAGGCACTAGAGAAGACATTTTAGGAATAGCAACAGAAACAGGCAATTTTGGTGGAGGAGGCGGAGGAGGAGCTTTGACTGGTCCACATGCGTTGGTATTAGACGAATCTGAACCTGTAGCTGAAGAAACATTCTCAGTGAGACATGGAGGAGGTGGAGATGGAGGTGGAGGTGGAGGAGCTTTGACTGGTCCACGTGTGCTGTTAATAGATGAATCTGAATCCATAGCTGACGAAACATTCTCCAGAAGACGTGGAGGAGGAGGAGGAGGAGGAGGAGGAGGAGGAGGGATTGACAATATGGTCTTAGCACTAGAACACGGGGACTGCAATACAGGTGGAGGAGGGGGTGGAGGTGGAGGTGGTGGTGTTGACAAGGGAACCCTAGTATTTGAAGAAAGAGATTGTCCACAAGAGGTTGGCAGAGGCGGGGGAGGAAGTGGTGCTGATAATGTGCCTCCTGCATTCACAAAAGGAGGAGGAGGAGGAGGAGGAGGAGGAGATGTGTTCTGGACAGTTGAAGATCTAAAAGAGGGCAAGGGTGGGGGCGGAGGGATTGACGATGGATTTGTACGACAAACAATATCATTTTCTGATTCTACTGGTGGAAGGGGTTGTAATGCTGGTGGAGAATCTTTATGTTGTGATACTGAATGAATATGAGGTAAAGGAGGAGAAGGCAGTGCAGGGGCTGGTGGTTGAGATGATGCAGATGATGAGAGAACGTTTTGTCCAGGTTTAGATACTTCAGGTACAAAAGCGACCGAAGTAGCCGTTGATTGTGGAGATATTGCCCCCTGATGAGCAACCGCATCACTCTTGTATGTATCATTATCATGCAAAAGCGCCATAATCCCAAGTGAAGACGGTGAACTATGAAATCTTTGCATAGGTTTTGGAGAACCTTGCATGGAATTGCTGTATATGGCAGAGCTTGAACGGGAAGATTGAAGTATACGTGGGGATATTATCTTTGTTTGAGTAGTTTTTTGAAGAACAGGAAGCAAGTCCTCTGGTAGACCCTTCTTTGGAACCACTATATCATCTGGAGAAGGACCAGAGGACTGTTTTGAGAGCTTCTCATCAATTTGTTGAGGATGTGATACTGCAATAATGCTAGATTTCTCGGGCAGACTAGCATTTTCCAAACTTTCTCGGACAATATTTGAAACACCTTCTTTATAAGCATCAGACTTCTGTCCAACTATATGGCCAATATGGGTGTCTACTGTTGTTTCAGAAGAGCAATGGGATTGCCTCTCAAGAGTCCCTATTGAGGATCCCATGATGCTATCTTCCTGGACAAGTGATTTCAAATTACCCACAAGACTTTCTTTACTCTCATGAGAAGCTATCTCCAATTTCTCTTTGAGTTCTTTTGATGAAGTAATTTTCTGAAGAACATTTAGTGCGACATCAGACTTTGAATCTATCCAATCCACGTTGCTGAAAATCTCTTGCACCTTTGCAAACGCTTCAATAGGAAGGCCTTCTTTCTCCATAGTAACAGGCATATCAATAGAAGTGCCAGAGGTTGCAGAGTCCATCTCTGAGAAAAGAACCTTCAGGAAAAGGAAAAAAGCCAAAACAAAATTCAAGTTTTATCTTATACACTCAGATCAATCATTGAATCTCACAACAACCAAAAAAACCAAAAAAAAAACACATACACACACGCGCGCGCGCACAAGTGGAGTATGCAAAAACAAAAGGGGTGGGAGTGTGGGTACCTCAGCTCTGAAGTCCTTAGGAAATTTATCCTTGTCATCCCACAAGGTGTCAATTTCATCACGATTAAGCATCAAAATATTGGATCTGATAAATGCTGTGCTAAACATAACCCTGAAAATCATCTGCTCACGTTCCAAATCATCATCCAAGCTTATGCACTCAAGCACCACATCCCCTTGAACATGACAATTAACGTCAATCTTCACCAATTCACTTTCTGCCTGAAATATACTCGGAAGAAGAAGCCATTTAGTGAAGGAAGTCAAGCATAACATTTAGAAAAAGATAAGAAAATAAAGTACACCTTACAACCCAGTCAAAACACAGACCAGTGAAAGATTGACAATAAGGGAAAACATATCACAAGGACAAACAGATAAATCGTTGACCATTATTTACCTGCTTGTATTGCCGAACAATTTTACTTTTTTTTGGAGTTGAAAATAGCATAATAGGAGTTCGGTCAGCAGCAGGTGAAGGGTCTCGTCCATAGATTCTAAGAATAGGTCGGCAACCACCAATCCCATCAATATTAGGGATGAGCCTAAGCATTATGCAGTCCACAGTCAGGCACCTGTCCTGGGGAGGCCACTCTGAGTCCAAGTGTCTCCTTGATACATACTGAAGATACCTCAACTGAGAGGGAATTGGATTTAACGGGCACATCAACTGCAAAAGCTCGCGAGGGGCTTGTCTGTAGATCATATCCAGTGTCTTCTGTTCCCCATTATATAGCTTTCTGTAGATTAAGAGTGCAGCAAGCATGAATGCCAAAATAGGCCAACCACCTCGTTCGCAATGCATTAAAAGAACATTGCGTTGACCAAGCAAGAGCCAGCTATCACCAGATCTCAGACAGTGATGAATCATCTCCAATGTGAGCAGAGGACAACCTTCATGCTGCCGAGGATAATCTATTACAGTCATGTCATACTCCGACAGCATATTCGCAATATGGCTCTGCTTCTCTCCCTCACGAAAGTTGAAAACCATGAATGAAGCATCAGGTAGGTGACCATGGAGTTGACTAACTATTCCATCAATGTAGCCTTGATAATTATCATCCTCCACCACATCCGTTGTAAAGCAGCAATCAAAGACTAAGCAACAAAAACAAAATCTCATTATCAGGACAGTAAGCTTTAACAGCTACCTCAACTAGAAGAATCAAACATGTGTCACAAATATCACAAAAGCATTTTATCAAACAGGTGAATAACAGAAATATAACAGTTACAGATAAAATTATTTAGAGAGAACAAGCAAGGATGCGTAATGAGAAAACAAAAAGCTCGGCTGGAAATCAATCCTCATCCAAACCCAAATTACTTGAGCAAACACAAAAATTCACGAATTCAAAACAAATTCACAATGAAACTTGATCAATACGACCAAGTCTAGTAACATGTTCAAGGCCAATGATGAAAAAGAACGACATTATGCCTAAAACTGCGTGGCACAGATTGACAAATCAAATCTCAAGAACAAAGAAAAAAAACCCACAAGTAGCACAAACTATTCATAACTCTTACATAAGTTTCCATCTTCTTCTTTCCCTAAAATGATAATAACTAATTTAAAACCAGTCCACAAACCTTATTTCCCCACCCAAATTAATCATGAACAACTTTTCAAATAAACAAACAGCAAATGCTACTCCCTCCACAACTATTTATACTTTATTTGACAGTTTATATTTCTTCCATAAAACAATTTCACCCGATTTTCCAGGATACCAACAAGAATATTATTTTTAGATATCAAGCCTAATAGAAAAATAAATGTGACTATTCATAAAAATTGTACCAAAAAGAGGACAAGATAGAATGGAACCACAGATTAGAGAATAACCATGAGGGGTACAGTGATTCAAAAAGACAAGCAAAGCATACAAGAGAGGAGAAAATCAGTAAAATATATATGGCCATATATTAAGGTCCTCAACTACAGATTAGTTTGTTCAGTGAATAACAAGAAAAATTTAATATATGTCCATGCTCAGCAATTGGGCACAATCTGCATCTCTAATTATACTTCTTTTAGTAACAAAACAAAATCTTCTTTTGTTTCTGACTAGTTTCCAAAACATCGAAATCATGAAGAGTAAAATTACTTATAACCAATATTGAACATCAGTTTTAACCATTCCACAATTTCCAAGATGACAACTAACTGCACTAGTTAAGACTATGTTCTCTTCACTTGAAATGCTTTCTTCAAGTTTCAACAGACCTGATATCTTGATTTGACAAATTTTGACCATATTTGCATTTGCACACTAATATAAGAAGAAAGAAACAGATCCGATATCTTGATTTGACTAAATTTTGACCATATTTGCACACTAATATAAGAAGAAGATACAGACCCAATATCTTGACTTGACTAAAACTTGACCACACTGGTGAGGTCTAAACTTTTCTAGCCTTGGTCAATTTAGTCTAATTCTAATAAGAATAAGTAATAAGTTCCTGAACAAGGTGAAGAGAACAAGTAGCATAAGTTGTCTTAACTTCACAACTTACAAGTGAGCCAAAAGGGGCAAATACAAGGTTCTCAAAGCTCATAGCCTCTTATCAAGAATGTAACAATCATGATTTCATTACACTCTACTCCACATTATACAAGTAGACAGCTACTCATGCAAGTTAGTTAGTATCTGATGTTTAGGCTCTAGCACCTAGAAATCTAGAATCAATAGCTCGTACCCTTACTCTATTAATACAATGAAACTTCTTTATACACATGACCACATAGGGAAGATACAAAATCTCACAAAACATGTTTCCAGCAACATATAAAATAAAGCACAGACATAGAGATTAAGTACTATCCAAAACCAACCCACATTGATAAAATATTCTAAGAAAACCAGACTACGCAACAGACAAATAGACAATCACCAGCCATTTGAAAATAACTAGCAAGGAAAAGACTCAGCCAAAACTCAGCAGCATCAGTTGAGAATTATATATGACTAAAACCAGACTACACTTACAAATACCCCAGTAATAATGACAGAAAAAGCATGGAAGATCCAATTAGCTAAGATGATACACAGCAAGTAAGCTACTGAAACCTGATATATACCCACCTAATTTATGGAAATGTTGAATTCCAAATAACTTATAGCCTTGCTACTACAAACCAAAGACTATAGAAATGGGTTTCCACAATTCCAGCCATTAGCTAAATCGATTCCGCATTCATGAGCTACAGTCCAACTAATTATAATCCAATGACACCACAACACAAACAATACAAACTCCTCCATACTTGTGTAACATACGAATCAGAAGAAGATCCGTATCTGAGCTATTCCAAATCACCCTCACTAATAACAACTAAACCATAGCTCAACAGAAACAAATGCAGGTCCAAAGGTGATTAGTCAGACCATTCAACAATACCAAAGCCGTAATCGAAATGGCCAAAAGTATGGGGACGGTTGCACGAACCAAGTCTTTTATCTCCCTTGGTTGTCTACAAATATCCTTTTCCTCCATTCGCATTTATCTAATAACTGCAACCCTTAATCACACTCACAACAACCATAATCACCAATCAAAAAGTTGATGCAATTTCCAACAAACCCCATCAATTTCTAGGCCTCATTTCAAAGTTCAAATCATCAAATCCACAAAAGTATACTACAATCACATCAAATTCAACACAAAATATCAAACCCCGTATCAAATCATCCTAAAAATTGTTGAATAAAAAAATCAAAAATTGCAAATTTAAACCAAAAATAAAGACATACCATAAACCCTTTCAGCAATCTCCAACAACCCATCAGGTGGTTTCTTGTAGAAGAACTTCCTAAAAAGCGCCATTTTTCCCAATTGAAATCGAAAATCCAACAACTAATTACAAGAAATAATGTCAACCCATTTCATCTGATGTTACCCAGATCGTTATATATACGCACAATTTAACAGATCATTAAAAAAATTGCTGCAGAACTAAGAAAGCTCCAATTTACTAGGGTATTCTTTAAAAAACATTATTATTTTCTTCTCCTTCACACTTGCAACAACTACAGATGACTTCGCTTTCAAAGAGAGGAACACAACGTGGTGGGCTATGAGAGAGAAAGAATTTTAGAATTTTGGATAGATAAAATGTCGAAAATTGGGAGATCTGAGCTTTGTCCTGGAGTTTTCTATTACTGCCTCTATTTTGAATTGCAACAAATTGATATAAAATGTCTAACAGTTACGAATAATTCGATACGGAAGTACTCTTAGTATTTAGGTTGTTTTTATTGGGGGGGATTTATGGGTTTTTTTCATGGGATTTATCGGTGTTAAAAATATTATTATAGGGATTTAAGAGTGTTAAAAGTGTTATAATGTGTCAAATTTTCTAATATTTCATTTCTCTTAAAAAAAAAAACAAATCAAATACAATTTTTTTTTTTTTTTTTTTGATTCAAGAGAGGAACAAATCCAAAGGGAAATAAAAACAAAGCAAAAGCAGAAAAACTAAAAAATAATGTGCTAATCTTTGACGGCTTTTGATTTACAATAATAATAACGGCTAATCTTTTCCTAAAAAAATGTGTCGAATTTTCTAATATTTCATTTCTCTATAAAAAAAAAAAAAAAAAAAAAAAAAAAAAAAAAAAAAAAAAAAAACCAATAATGTAGGTAAATTTGATTTCATATCTTAGAAGGTTGCCAGTTTGATACATTGGTAGCCATAATTTAGAAAGTAATATGAATAGGTTATTAGCTTTGACCAATAAAAGTTTGCTTTAAGTACTTTGATATCAAATCAAAGGGTCAATTGTGTTGTTAAGCTCCAATTAATTTTTTGCATTGCTTTTGGGAGAATTTTAAGTTGATGTTATGCTTTTGTGGGCATTATACCTTTTTTATTCACTTTGAATGAAAAGACTAGTATATTGCACGTATAAGTGTTCAACCTAATTCATGGTTTTCTAGATTAAGCTATGATTAAGATTAGACACTAATCATACATTCATACTATATCCAAATAGGCAAATAGTCTTCTTCTTATCCTATGAGATGTCACTTTGGTATAAAGTTAGAGAAAAAAAAAAAAAAAATCAATGAAGCTTTCGAGTTTCTACAAATAATAAAAAGTGGAGCAAATTAAAGGATTTATAATATGGGTTGATTGTGAAATGTGGCCGTGAATCATGATAAAGCCAAACATACCAATTACGAAGGTAGTATAAAATTTGCATACGTAGTATTATTAGTGTAATATGTAATCTATGGTAGTATGGCACATAGACACTCTAACTTATCACTAGGTCAAAATCTTTAGTTAGTTATATACCTATATAATATAAGTAATGGAGAATAATTTGCGATATAGACTTAATTTGACATAATTTTACGTCAATTAATTGGAAGGGAGAATTGAAATTTTCAAGGTACTTGAGGTACTTCTAAAACTAGCTATAAAAAATAGTGATCAATTACTGTATTTCACAAAATAATATATGGTAAAAAGTCCCTAAAAACATTAGTAAAACAATTTGCACCAAATGTAAAATGTGTGAAATTACAATAACAAAATGTAATTGCCAAGTTTTTGAAGACACGTTTTAAAAAATCTATCTATAAATATTAAAGGTGAAACTAAGAATCTATAATCTATCTATAATTTAAAACTATATATAATAAAGGCGAAACGACACTTGTCATCTCCTAGTTAAAACTTTCCCACAAGGTCTTTTTTTTGCCAAATTTTCTTGCGTATTATTTAATTACAATATAATACATTCCTTTCTAGTTGGCCATTATTTTATTTTTTTTCATACACATTATATATACTAAAATGTGTTTCAAAAAAAATAAATATATACTAAAATATTATTCCGTTATTTGATATGTTAAATATCTTTATTAATTTAATAAAATTAAATAAAATCCATAAATAGATCAAAAATATCTATACCTATAATTACATAGTAATACATGTTCACAAAAATAAAATTAAAATACGTATATATACATATACAACTAATATTAACAAATATATATATATAAAAAAAATATCAATCTTATAATACATTTTTCATTCAAAGATTTAATTAATGCAACTATCAAATTTGATAAATATATTTATATAGATAGTAAATGAACATATTTAGGGTCTATTCTGTTCACCTTATTTTCACTTATTTTAGATTTAATAAGTTCAGATAAGTTTAGTTAAGTTAAAATAAGTTCAGATCAGGAAAAATAAATTCTGATAAGGGTTATTAAGTTTAAATTACAATTAAAATAAGTTTTAATAAGTTCATATAAGTTCAGCTTAGTTCAAATAAGTTCAGTTAAGTTCATATAAGTGAAGATAAGGTGAATAGAACACACCCTTAGTCCCTAAAAAAAGACCTTATCAATAAACAAGGCACTAATCAATAAGTTTTCAAGACAAGTGTTTATATATTTAATGCCTTGTTTATCCCTATACCAAAAATACAAAAAAAAATTAAAATAAATAAATAAATAAAGCATTTATTTTAATTGAGTCGGCTACAACAACCAATATTATTTTTTCTAGAGCAAAAGCAAGACATTTACATACTCCGTATATGGTAATGAGGGGTGACTGGGTGAGTCAAAGAATGAATGAGATGGTTCAGAGTAGGGGTGCTAATCGAGTTGAACAGCTCGTAAGCAATCCGGACTCGACTCGGTCAAAGTTCGGTCAAAACTCGGCTCAAGTTAGCTCGACTTGAATTCGACTCGACTCGAGATGCTAACGAGCACGAGTTGAGCAAAGCTCTAACTCAACTCGATAAGCTCGTGAGTAACTCGATAATGTATTTTATTAGTATAGAATTTACAAACAAAGTTATTACCATGAACAAATTTAACACTTAATAAGAGTTAATTTATATTATTAAAAAAAAAAGAGTAAATCTTTAATAATAAATAAAAGAAAACTATATAAAGTGAATAAAAACAATAAAGGCCTGGAATTTTAGAAGGGCCAAAACTTTAACGAGTAGATCGTTAGTTACTCGACTCGACTCGAAACTTTAACGAGCACGAGTCGAGCAGGTTTTATTAGCTCGAAATATTAACGAGCACGAGTTGAGCACATGAAAAAAGTTTTCGAGTCGAGTCGAGCACCCCTTAACTCATAATCGACTCGCTCGATTAGCACCCCTAGTTCAAAGTACCAAGTAAGCCCCTAGAGATGATTTCAAGCGCAAAGTTAGCATTTTGGGAATTATGTAGTACAATTAAGGTGTTGGGAATCTTTCATTGGGTTATCAAATCCAAATTCGCTTATTACTTACCATTATATACATATTCATGTCAGATTTTGTTAGATACGTACCATTATAAATAAACTTTTAAAATACTAATGTTTTAGAGTTGTACTAAAAGATATTAATGGCGTAAAATGTGCATTGGCAAGCGTAATACTCCAAATATTGCAATAAAAAAAGAAAGAAAGTATAAACTGTTCAATATATATTTACTTTTAGATAGCTATAAAATGTCTAAATAAATTCAAACTAGGACTAATAGGTTCAATTTTGGACTAAACTTAGCTTCTACATGTTTTTAGATAAACTTTAGGAGTTGCTCGTATATAATAAGGAGATTAACTAATGTGAAGAAAGCAAGGGTAACAAGTAATCAAATTTATTTTCTTCTTCTATACAATTTGTACTTGTTAATTTCTCAATTCTAACCAAGGATGTTTCATGTAGTAGGCCAGGATTCTTACCTTAATAATGAGGTATGAAGTCACAAGTTTGAATTCTACCACTAAGCTAAGGTATATAGTCATGTGGTTCTTCACCAATCACCAATTCACTATACTATTAAGTCTTGGTTACATATGTTATGGTAAACAAAACCTACACACTCAATTCACTATACTATAAGTCTTGGCTACATATGTTATGGTAAACATAACATGGCCTACACACTTTTAAAGGCAATACTTAGAGAAGATGAATAGTTTGGATCAAAATTTATCATCAGTGTAAACAGTGGCGGATTTAGGGATATTAATAGGGGTAATAGTGGACAATTAAAAAAACAATCTAACGTTGTTGTAATAACATAATATAATCAGCCAAACAAACTACATTAAATTTTGGATATAATGTGTTGTGTAGTCGTATAATAATTAACAATCAAATTCAAACATTTATACTGACAAGGTTATTTTTTTTTACAAATAATTTATATTCTAGATATCGATTATACTATGATACACTTTCCACGGTTCCACCTATTTATTTATAATTTTGTACGTCAAATTAAAGTTGCATATGAATTTATACGGAAAACTTAATTTGGTATATTCTTGTGCACGTATTCTAATGTAAAATTTTGACTCAAAATATCATTAATAATGAAAATTATAACAATTGAATATTAATAAATTTTTCATTGAGACGATTCCAACAAGTACCCACATGACTATATTTATTCTTATGTATAAATCACAAACATTAGTCAAACTGAATTAGATAAATTGTGCAAAAAGTCAAAACGTTTCATTTACTTAAACACAGATGGAGTATGATATTTTTATATTCATTTTAGTGTAAATTTTCATACTAATATAAACAAGATATAATAATGGCCAAATAAATGCATTAAATATTATATAATGAAAATGAGAAGAGTGTCATCGAATATAACGGAGAGAGTATTTCATATTAATAAGGATTGTTTATAAAAGGCGTGAAAACTGAAAAAAGAAATTTATCATGGAAAGATAGTAATAGCTTATCCTTGTGTTGATGAAAGTGGAAATTCATTTTGGTTAAAAGAGGAGTTAAGGGGTCTCGAACCTGACTTTTTGTTCAAACACAATTTACAAAACAACTCCCTTACCACTGAAGTAATGCTGAAGATACTAAAGATAAATACTGAAGATACTAAAGATAAATACGGATTATAATTGTTATATAAATATAAATGACGATTTTTTCAGAAAAACAGTTTTTTTTTTTTTTTTTTTTTTTTTTTTTTTTCTTGTGGGGCGGGGGGCACGTGCCCCCCAGACATCAACGTGGATCCGCCACTGAGTGTAAAGGATCGAAAATTTGCTCATCAAAAGCATGCATGAACGAGGTAAAAATCTTGTCCAATAATCTCCACTTCTCCAATAATGTGTCTATTATAGTCCATTTGATCAAACCACGAATGTAATATGTCAAAAGTACGTGTCTTTTGTTTGATCAACAAATTAAATTCATTTATTCGATCTCCTAAATCTAATTTATATTTAGACGATCAAAATAATAAAAATCGTCATTATCGAAATTACGACTGTAACTTATTATTATATCTCAAGCATAGATTTATCATTGCTCATAAAATAATCTATCTCCTCAATTTAAAGTTTGAGCTCTAATATACAGGTTTCGTACCCTAGAATATGATAAAGTAACTACTCCAGCATATCTGTTTTCTCTGGCAAGACATAATAAATACACTAGAACATCCCTCATAATTTATTAGAATCACGAAGAAGCAATGAACCTTATAATATGTTAGCTTCATTCATATTCATAAGTACAAATTGGTTAGAATTGCATGCAGCCATATTTTCTTGCTTTGTCAGGAGGGAATGTATGGAAAAATGGCCCCATTACAAAATGGTAAGTTTGTTAGAAATCATATATTATCACGTATAGATTAACGAGAATTCATGGTCAAAGTTTTAAAAGTTTGACCCATAATTTTACAATGGGGCAAAAAAATAAGAGACGGAGGGAGTACTAGTAGACTTTGCTGAGCCTGTGGCAAGTCTTGTAAAATTAAGGTGTTGTTTGGTTGATATGAAAAATTATATTTTATGGAAAATAATTTCTCTTGTTCATTTCCTAGGAATTGACATTTGTTTGTTTGGTTGAAGATGTAGGAACTTAAATTTCCTAGGAATTGATTTCCTATATTTCATTAGTTAGCTTGATTTTTTATTTTTTTTCTTTTTTTTAATTAAGTGAACAACTTTGGAGAGAGATAGAAAGAGATTAGACTATTAGTGCTAATAATGCAAGTAGGCCCTATAATAATCATGGGAAATATGACTGATTTCCCATGTTTCATGGGAATTCAAACTTTCCTTGGAATTTCTATTTCTCCCCAATTTTATATTTTTGTGTCAACCAAACAACACATGTTATATCCATTTCCTAAGAAATAGAATTTCCCATGTATTTTACCTCCAACCAAACAACACCTAAGTTGGTACAAGCCTAATCTATATCACCTCCACAACTCTCTTTCTCCCGCCAAAACTTAACCATAACCAATTTTTTTTTTTTTTTTTTTTTTTTTTTTTTTTTTTTTTTTTTGACAGAAACCATTACCAAATTTATGCTAATTAGTTTAAGAATTTGGTCAATATGCATATTCATAAGTCTTTCGATTAATAATCAAATATATTGAATTATCAAATATATAATAGAGATATAAACCCTCTGTTTTTATTAATGTTTCATATACCTTTTTTTTTATTTTATTATTATTATTTTTTTTTTTAAATGTATCACTTCTATATTTATTAATTTTTTTTTTTGAAAATACTATATTTGATAATTTACTACCTCCGTTTTTTTAGTGTTACAATTTGACTTTTTTCACTATTTACATGATGGTTTAGACTTGATTATTTTACTAATTTTTTAAAAAATGTTATTGTATAATACATTATCGGATTTGTCATATTGGGTATATTTTCATAATACGAGTATTAATAAATTAACGATCAAAATCGTGTCTCAATATGTGTATTTGGTCAAAGTGTAACACTTTAAAAAACATTGAGGGAGTACTGATTTTATTATTTCTCACTTTCCTAAAAACCCACCTATAATATTTTAACATTTTATCTTTCTTTCATGTTCCCATTTAAATAATTAAAAAAATCATTTCTTTCACATACTATCTCTTTCATGGTCACAAACTCACAATATAGTTTTATCAAAATAATTTAACTATCCACATATATAGTATATTTTCTTTTTTTTGTGTTCCACCCGATTTACCCTTTTGGGCTAATCCGGATTCGATGATCAGTTTTGGGTGGTTAGGTTCCAATCCCCTCTCAATTGTTGTTGCGGAGGATCGAACACGCAATCCTCCTTACCAAATGTAGTCCCAATCACCACTACACCAATAGTCAATTGATATCCACATATATAGTATAATATTAGATAAAACTCTGCGTAAATACAAGTGAAGTATTTATAAAAATAAAATCGAAGGAGTACAATAATTGCATTGGCTAGAACACAGGGGATTTTATGAGCTAGTTGCAAACAATCTTAATTATCTTACAAACAAATTAAACTTCAGCCCAATAACCAAACCCACTTGATTTACAGATCCAATAAACATTCTAATAACAAATTAAATTTCGAATTCCATCATATTTTTTATTCATAACTCAAATAAAACCCCACTTGGTTTCGAAATTATAATATGATTATTAGAATTTTCAAATTCCATCTCGACTTCAAAATTCAATGCTTCGAAAATCCCCATCGGGTTCGGATCTTCACCCTCCCCATTTCCCTAGACCCCAAACCCCAAACCACTTCCCACAATTAGAAAACAACAATCAATTATCATTAAAAAAAAAAAAGTTAATTATATATTTCAAGAATAAGTCTTATGTTTGACTTTTTTCTTTTTTCATTATTCATATATGGAGTATTAGTATTAACATCGACTATATAGTTTAATCTTTCTAACGTGGTAAAAATAATTTAATTATGAAATATGTTTTTAAGTTGGTATTAATATAAAATGTCATAATATCAACTTAGTAAAAATATCTTAAAGTGATAAAAAGTTACACATGTATTATATATTGCTTTTTTTAAATGTATTCCTACCTTTTAAAATTTTAAAAGACACTCGTAACACTTATGAATATTGTTTGAATATGTTATATACCCTCATTAATATTAAGGGGACGTTTGGTTTGAACAATGGAAATGGAGTGGAAAGGAAACAAATAAGAGGGGGAAAAAAATCATTTAGCTATTACCTTTTCATTTATTTGGTTTAACAAAAAAAAGGGTATTTGTTAAGAGGAGGGTAAGGGTATTTGTTACCTAAATGAAGGGTAATCATTACCTTTAAGTAATGGTAATTGTTACCATACCTACAAACCAAACACAGTAACGATATCGGTTTAATCAAATCCGTGTTACATTATTTGGATGTCATTATTTATGTTACATATTTTCTTTCATTAATGCTATTACCAATTCCTGAAATTGTGACAAAAGGTAAATCAAATAGACTGCTAGAACTACCCCATTTACCTCTTATTAATCTTAATATTGAATTACAAAATCTCTCATTATCTCTTCCATATAAATAGCGGAGTACTCCTAGCTGCTACTGCAACAATAAATTTGATTTGATCCAGTAAACTTCATACCTAAAAATGCGGCTGGTAAACACCGCAAACAGCGGCGGAGAAGAAAATCGTACGAAGACGGCGAAATCCCGGCGAGAAGAAGGTGTAATTACGGCCGCCGGAGAAGACGAAGAAGGTTGTAGGACAGTGTGTTACTCTCCCGCACGTGTGGTGGTTTATCGGTTGCTTGCCATTGCCAGAAAATGTCGTAGCGGTGGAAGGAGAGAGAAAGTTCAGATCAGTGACGAATTTTCGCCGGAGATTTCGCGGCGGAAGTCCGATGATCGCCGGAGAATCAATGTTTCAGGTGACTTTTAAATTTAAACTAGTTAGTAGCTAATAATTCAATTGTGATACGAGTATTATGATTAAATAATGGAATTCTTGTGATTTTAAATGTTTACGATTACTCGATTAGTAGAATTATAGCTCACTTAATTACGTTTATATGTTAAATTTAAAGAGTGGCGAATTAATTTTTTACCTGTACACAATTATTGGCGTTTATTCTTGCTAAGTACCGTTTCATTATCTACTAATTTTAAGTATTCCTTATTCTGATTTTTTTTTTTAGAACCAATGGAAGAAATATTTAAAACAGTTCAATCTTAACTTTGAAAAAAAAAAATCAATTTTTAATCCGTGGTATGAGTACATTGCTAAATTAATACTGGTATGAAGATTGAAGAACGTATTATTATAGGAAATGTATTCAATTGCTTATAGTTAGCCTTCATAATGCATATGCATGCCATTTTCCAGAGATAAAAATCCAGAACTTAAAAATATCTACTCCGTAGCACATTATGGATTTTTTTCCAAACTAAGCTTTATTACCAAAGTATTTTGCAAAGTGGACTTGTGGCAAACTATTTAACAAACTAAGCTTCCACGGTAAAACGCTGTCTCGGATAGCGTTTTATACCCTGTTTTTTTTTAAAAAATAAACGAGTAAAACGCTGTCTGTTTTACATGTTGATTTTTTTATAAAAAAAAAAATTCGTAATTTTTGATTTTAAAATAAAATAAATTATACCCTGTTTTTTTTAAAAAATATTCAACGAGTAAAACGCTGTCTACAGGTTGACTTTTTTATAAAAAAAAAAAATTTCGTAATTTTTGATTTAAAAAAAAAAAAAAAAATTACATTAAAAACGCGGTCTCAGTCAGCGTTTTTAGTTTAATTTTTTTTTTAAATTCTTATTTTCAGATTTGAAAAAAAAAAAATTACACAAAAAATGCTGACTTAGTCAGCGTTTTAAGTTAATTTTTTTTTTTCTTTAAAATTGTTAATTTCAGATTTTAAAATAAAAAGAAATAAAAATTACACTAAATACGCTGACTCAGTCAGCGTTTTTAGTTGAACTTTTTTTTTAAAATTCTTAATTGTATATTCAGTAAATCAGTCAGTGTTTTTGGTGTAATTGTTTTATTTTTATTTTTTTTATTTTAAAATCTGAAATTAACAATATAAAAAAAATAAAAAATTTAGTCAGCGTTTTTAGTGTAATTTTATTTATTTATTTATTTTTATTTTAAAATAAAAAATTACGATTTTTTTTTTAAAAAAGTCAACATGTAAAATGCTGTCTCACACAGCGTTTTACTCGTTGAATATTTTTTTTAAAAAACCAGGGTATAAAACGCTGTTGGACCCTGGAAGCCTAGTTTGGTAAATAGTTTTGCCACGAGTCCACTTTGCAAAATACTTTGGTAATAAAGCTTAGTTTGGAAAAAAGTCCTAATATTATTACCATTTTTTGACGTAGTCACCATTTTAGGAAATGTACGTAATCTTTATCGTTACTCGTAGTTCTTAAGGTGTACTACTATACATTTATACATAATAATCTCTCCGGTGAGTGAAAATTGTGTTGCTAATGTTGTGCTACAGAGTATCTACAAAATTGAAGTGTAATTAGGTGCACTTTTTGAATTACATCTTTCTAAAATTGTAATTTTCTACTATGCAAAAACTATAATTAATTAATTATAGTTGTAACATGAAAGTGTACGACCAACTGTATTCTAATCTAGTACACTTTGTATTAGACCTATTGTTTCAATCAAACTACATTTTAAGTTGCAAACAACACTTGCAATTTATATTTGACGTGGTTGTTTAGGCAAAATTTTGTAAGGTTTTAGCCTTTTAGGTGAACAAAAGCATTAGAGGTCTTAGAGCCTAGGCATAACTCGCGAAAGGGAAGAAGCGAAAGGACATATATAGGTGAACCTACGTGCGACCATGCAGGTTTACAGTTGCAATGATCTTTGAGTTATTGAATTATAAGTTGTCTAATTGAGTCCAAGGGGTGAATCATACAAAACAGAGGAAACAAAGACTCATAAAAGCACAATTTATACTGCTGCCATGATCTTTGACTTCACATCTTAAACTTTCAAGATGAAGGTGATATATACTCTTAAAATGCATGTTCAATCTGTTTCCAAGCTAGTAAAGGGGTTATCCTTCATGTTTATAGACATGGGTGGTTTTGTTTAGAAAAAAGTTATACATCATGTTATCATAATTAGATAAATTAGTATGAAGTGAACAATTGCTGCATGTTATATAGAGTGATAGTGTGATGTTCTGAAAGTAAATTTCAATTTTCCGTTAGGACTTCAAAGTCAGGAGATGAGCTTCAATTTGGCCGCGGGACTTGGTTTGCTATCCCTTATTGCTGCTAGCAAAACTGAGCTCGATAAAACTGTGGAATTGCGTAAGCAAATGGAAGTCTTTTTAGAAAGTTTCAAAGAGGGGAACCAAAGCAAAGGCACAACCCCAAAACCATCCGATTCTGATAATGCATATGCTGTGAGCACTACGATCGACAACCTTAGTAATTACTCCGTGGAGGATCATGCACTTAGTCAACAAGGATCTGGAAACACTTGTGCATGTGCTCTACACTGTGACATCCATCAGAAAGAGGAGTTTGTGGAAGGTATAAATCACCTTGAGGCAGAATTAGCTGCTGAATTAGATCGAATGCAGCTTGATGTAGATGCAGGAGGGTATGTAGAGACAGGAGAGTCATCAGACCTACAACAGGAAGTTACTGAGGTATACAACTTTGACTCTTTGAGTGCCTTGGGGTTTTGGAATATTTACTTTGTTATGCTCTTGGATACATTCTGTGTTCTGTAATTCCTTCTGATGCGTATATATCATTAATACTAGCAGCCTACATCTGTATAGAGTATTCTATACTATAGGCTGGTGTGCCAGGTTGTGCCGTTGTGGAATTAATTTGTCTACGGTTGTTTTAGCACTGATTATCTGGATTTACATCTCATTTATCAATGTATGATAATATTGCTAGTTGTGGCCCTGTAATTTGAGTTATATTGATATGCTGTCTTTAAACATCTCTGTCAATGATTCCATGACCTGCAAACTTAAACCAAAACACTTTGAGACGATTCAATTGTTTGCGTTGGTCTTTCCTGTCAATTATTGTGTATAAAGTTGCAATATATGTGCCTCGTGAAGTTCTATACCTAGAGATAAAGCATACTCTGTACCTTGAAACATTTTCTAGTTTTATCTCATGTCTTCTGCTGCCTGCACTTCTGAACAGCTGAAAAAAATTAGATCATTTATTCATTAGCTTCAGTAACTTTGTAATTGACTGCTGAAACATCAATTTGACAGATACCCTCTGAAAACACTGCTATTGGAAGTGTTAGCATGAGCACTGGAGAAGTTATTGATCCCCAGTATGTTGACAACACAGAGTTTTGTGGTGTTCCTCCTCTTGAACTTGAGAGACGATTACATGAGGTACTTGAAACAAGACAAGAAGAACGGATAAAAGAACTCGAAGCTCATCTAGAACGCATGACGAAAAAGCTTCAAGAAAAGGAGGTAGAAGTCACTTGGTGGAAAGATACTGCTAAGCTTATTTCCAAGCAAGTCCCTGAATCATCCCGCGCCATGAGGTAAAAGTCACACATTAAAGTATTAAACTACATTCTATCATCTGACATTCGCGATTTACATGTATATTCTGGCAAACTTACCGAAAATTGATGTTTTGCAGGTAGGTTTCTGATTATAGCTTGTTAACTATGATGGATGAATTGCAAAATGATTGGACCTATGGCTAAAATGCTGCTCATCAAAAGGATTTTAGCTGTTTGAAATCCCTGCAGTTTTTGTAAATATTATTCTGCTGTCAATATTTGGCTTTTTGCTAGAGTTTCCTATATGAAGCTGTTTGAGCAGACCTTGAACTTTTATTTTTTAGTGACAAAAATGACTCTAGTAACGCTTGATTTATCTCTTAATTCGGATTCATCAAGTAATCACAGACATGATTATTCTCTACTCTAGTACAGTGTCCTAGATTTTAGTTTTGAACTCTAGTGCCGGAGCCAAAAAGAGGAGGAGAGTAAAAAGTTGGTGTCCAACTTTTGAACTCCCCCAAATTGTCCATATAAGCTTTAAAAAAAAAAAAAGAAGTAAATATATATGTCAAATTACGTCAATTTCAAACTTTTATCGGCTTATGTAATTTGCCAAAAATAAAATCTATAACCCTTATCATCAACCCTTATTCCCTCTCCTAATATAAATTTCTAATTAAGCATTTTTGACATCACCTGAAAAATCCCCAATAAGATTGACATAAAAATATCTCTAAAAATGTTATGCAAAATATGTGCTAATACGATTAAGATGGTGGTTGAAAGGAGATAAGCTGAAGCGTAAAAAAGGAAAACTTGAATGGTAAGAAGAAATTAAAAGGAAAACGTGTAAGAATATTAAGAAAAACCCATATTGTATAGCATTACTTGCATGTCATAGGATCATAATTTCAAGATATTAAATGTGCTATATTAGAAATAGATTTTAGTTTCATATTTAATGTAAGATGTATATTAGGCTTTAGGGCTTAGGGTTTAGGGTTTAGGGTCTAAGGTCTAGGGTTCTAGGGTTCTAGGGTCTAGGGTTTAGGGTTTTAGGGGTTCAGGGTTTTAGGGTTCAGGGTTTTGGGTTCTAGGCTCGGGGGTTAGGGGTCAGGGGTTTGGGGTTTGGGGTCTAGGGTCTAGGGTCTAGGGTGTAGGGTTTAGGGTGAAGGGTCTAGGGTTTAGGGTTTAGGGTTTAGGGGTTCAGGGTTCAGGGTTTCTAGGGTTTAGGGTTTCTAGGGTTTAGGGTTTAGGGTTTTAGGATTTAGGGTTAGGGGTTTAGGGGTTAGGGTTTAGGGTTTAGGGGTTTTAGGGTTTAGGGTTTAGGGTTTAGGGGGGTTTAGGGTTTAGGGGTTAGGGGTTAACGGTTTAGGGTTTAGGGTTTAGGGGTTTAGGGTTTAGGGGTTTAGGGGTGGGTTTAGGGGTTTAGGGGTTTAGGGGGGGTTTAGGGGTTTTAGGGTTTAGGGTTTAGGGTTTAGGGGTTGTTTAGGAGTTTGTGTGTCCTCTAAAGTTGCATATAATATGAATCAGAGTTAGTAAAAGGAAGATAGTGGGGTTAATAGTTTAGGAAAAATTGAAACTAATAATCCCACCTTTGTCTCATCTTCTCAAAACAATCCCACACTTGCGTATTCGAGAAACAATTTTACCTTTATACCCCATATTCTCAAAACGGGCTTTAACCGGATAATTAAATTGATAACCTGTAAAAGAAGGTTAGTTGCCATGTGTTACTTTCTCATTAGACTATTTTTATTTTTGAAATAATTATAAAAAAAAAAAAAATTAATTTAAAAAAAAAGATATACAACCCTTTCTTTCTCGTCCCTTTTTCTTCTTCCCTACACCCATCTAAATGAGAAAATTCAAGTTTCTCAACATGAGAAACATATTATATATCTCAAAGGGGTAAATTTGTCATTTCAGCGAATAAATTGGGTTAAAATTGTAAAATTGTCTAATAAATGGATAAACTGTTTTAGCAAAGCAGAAGAGCTTTAATGGAGAAGCATGTATTTCAATGGTGAAATTGTACACGGCAATCGACTTCAATGGAGGAGAATAACATTCATACCCTTTGGGGTTAACCATACCATAAATTTCTCCATTATTTCTTAGGGTTTACGTTAAATTCGGCGGCTTGAATTACGATGGTGAAAGCGGTGGTTCAGCGGTTCACGAGAGGAAAGCTTGAGGACGAAGATGGAGATGAAGGTTTATGTGTCGTGGTTTGGGATTGAGGATTATGGAAGAAGATGGAGGTGGAGGTGGAGGTTTGTGGGTCGTGGTTTGGGATTGAAGAAGAAGATGGAGACAGGTTGGATGAGAAGATGATGAAAGAAGATGGAAAAAAAGTACAACAATAAATAATAAAATATTAACAAAGTTCAGTTTATTTACACTTATGCCATTTTGAGATACATGACTTGTTTCTCAATTGAGAAACTAGGGCAACCTCCATCTAAACCACCACCCCATGCCTGAGTAGCCTACCCCTCTTCTTTGCCGGAGAAGCCATACCCCTTTCCCCAGCAAAGCTAACCACCTCTTTTCCCGCCGAATTGTTTCGTGGGTGGCTGGGTTGGTTGTGGTTAGGGGTTTTAGGGTGGATGTGAACTTGTGGTGGTCGGGTTCACGTGAGGTTTTGCGGGTGGTTGGAGTTGACTAGGGTGGTTGGGTTTATGGGTTTCGGGGTGGCTGGGGTTGAATGGGGTGGTCGGGTTTAGGGGTGGTGGGGTTGAATGAGGTGATCGGGTTTAGGGGTGGCTGGGGCTGAACGGGGTAGTTGGGTTGCCCGAAAAATTTTAAGTTTCGACATCAACCCGGAACGAATCGGAGCTGTGTTTTGTGAAGTGGGATGTATGAATTGAAGATGATGATTTTGTTGTTGATGTTGTTGATGATAGTGAGGAAGAAGAAAAGGGATTTTTTTGATAGTTTGTGGGCTCCATTGGAGTAGTATTGGAGCTTGTAGCCATGGATTGAAAGCAGCTTGTAGCTTTCTCATGCTCGTGGGTAGTGGGTCAGTGGTGGGAGTAGGGGTTAGGTCACTTAGGTGGTGATGTGGTGGTGGTTATGGAAGGGTGGTGGTGGTTATGGTGGGTTTTCATGAGAGGGGGTGGTGAAATGGGAGGAGAGAGATTTAAAAATAAAATTAAAAATTTAACTTGTTAAACAGGTTGTAGGTAAAATGGCTCATTTTGAGAATATGGGGTATAAAGGTGGGATTGTTTCCAGAAAGTACAAAGGTGGGATTATTTTGAAAAGATGAGGCAAAGGTGGGATTATTAGTTTTAATTTTTCCAATAGTTTTTTTTTTTAAAAATTAATAATAGGGTTTATGGTTTAGGGTTCAGGATTTTTGGGTTAAACTTAAACCAAACCCTGAACCCTAAACTATTTTTTAACACATGCTAAAGAGAGTACGTGTCACAAATAAAATCTATTTTGTGTAGTTTTCATAAGGATTATAGAGATGTTGATGGCGGCCTGGGGGAGTTGGTCAAAGTGGCAAGGTTGGTGAAAATACAATATGTCATGTTTCTCTTGCTAGTGGTGGTGATCGAATGGCTAACTTTAGCTCTTGGATAAATAGTAGGCAACAAAGAGTAGAGGTGACAATTCAGGTTAGCAGGTCGGGTTCGGGTCAAATTTTTGGTCAATTTCGGGTTATGCTTAGAAACTATCAAAAATAGTGTAAAACTTAATATTATTATGAAATATGAACTTTGGGTCAAATCAGGTCGAATTCTGGTTGTTCGGGTTCGGCTCGGGTCGGGTTCGGGCTTCTCTCAGTAACTTCGGGTTGGGTTATTGGGTCGGGTTAGGGATTGCCAGCCCTAACAAAAAGTATTGTGAAAAATCACAACTTGATCTCTAGTTAGAAGAAAAAAATGTTGATCATAAGTCCAAACTCGTTGTGTTATGGTGGTGTAAAAATTGTGGTGTTCCACGATATCTACAACTTGCCGCATTGGCTCGTAACAGTCTAGCTATTTCCATATTTTCGGTTCCCTCCAAGTCCACTTTTAGTATGGTATAAAATTGATTAATCCTTGGAGGGTTTCCCTTACATCAATGACAATAGATTTCTTGCTTATTATGAAGATTGGGTACGTGCACAAGGTTATCTTTTAGGTGAGTATTTATATTATTATTTCCTTTTGATATATAATATAAAAACTCTTTAATCTATTTAACTTTTTCCCCTACATTATATTGATCAACAATCTTTAATGCTTAAGGAGCCGGAGATGAAGATGACAATGAAGAGTGCAATAATTGGTTGATGATGTATTATTGTACTATGTGTGGCTTATTGTAAATTATTACTATACATGTCTTCGTTACGTAATTTGTATACTTAATTGTCTATGATTCTTTTATTCCCGGCCCATCTCCAATTGATCTTACATTATCCAAATTCGAAATAGATTTTACAACCCCATTTCATATCATACTCCGCTCACAACCATTCTCCACATCCCCACATTGCCCACACCCCGCACTTCTAAGGTATAGCAAAACTTTTTTGCTAGCTCCTCATCGCCGATCAATAAAACACTCATTAGATACATTAAACATAAAACTCACGTCAATATCTACATTCAACCACGCAGGTTGTTAGTTGTTAATATTAAATTCGCATTGAAAGTTTTTTTCTTTCTAATTTATACATTACATTGAATTATTTACATGAGAAAGATAATGTGAAAATTATTTCTGTCAATACATAAATACATAATTATATGTATTAATGTAATGTAAACATATAGTTTCACGTAATTTGTTAATGATATATAAATAACTATATTCAGGGTTCATGGTTACGTAATTTATTAATTATTAAACATATTATTATTTAAGTATCATTTATGCACGTGATGTCATGCATGCATTGTGTGCATTAAAAGCTAGTATGATTATATGACATTCTCTTGCTAACTGTTGAATTAGATATTCTTTTTATGTATTGATGAATTTCTAGTATTATTTTATTGACATCTTTGTTTGGGATACTTGATTTTTTTTGCACATGTATGGCTTTTTCCAATGATTTATGCTTCAAAGACTGTAGATTCAGTTTGGTTGTGTGTCCAAGCTTTTTATACGCTTCTTTTTCTTTATTTTATTTATATTTTTAATTACAGTTTTTAGTATGGAAGAGAATAGGAGGATCAGACTACAGTCCATGCAACAATTTAATAATGCATATAGCAATCAACTAGAGTCTCAAGAACAGGTTTGCAATACTTTATTGCAAGACATTGGGTCTTTCTACAGAATTCAATGATTGTCAAATCAGCGACACATATTAAATAGGATTCAAGTTGAGGGGAGACAATGGCGTGGTAAGAGACAGAGGAGACAACAAGGAGGAAATAAATCTTCTTTTGGTCTTGTGAGGGTGGGGAAGATCAACAACAACATTCTGAGGCTGGAACTAAACAAGTAAGAGATGATGCTTCTAGAGATCATCAAGAAGGTAATGTAATGTATAAATTAGAAAAAAGCTTTTAATTTGAATTCAATATCAACAAGTAACTACCTACGTGTTTGAATGTAGATGGTGATGGAGGAAGAGATGACATGCATTTAGAGAATATACCTTCTCCTCCTCGTGAGACTGTGGTTATTCAGCCCGAAGAACCACATAAATACATAATTATTTCTGTTAGTTGTGAAAATTATTTCTGTCGTTACATAAAAACATAATTATATGTATTAATATAGTGTAAACATATAGTTTCACGTAATTTGTTAATGATATATAAATAATTATTTTCAGGGTTCATGGTTACGTAATTTATTAATTA